GGACGGGTGGAAGGGTGCAGACGTGGCATGACGAATCATGTTAGCCTGTAAGAAAGCTTGGAATTCGGAGGAAATAAATTGAGGGCCGTTGTCAGAGACGATGACATCTGGGAGCCCGTGTGCAGCAAAAATCCCCCTCAGTACCTGAATAGTCTTTGCAGTGGTGGTGGATGAGACAGGTACAACCTCAAGCCATTTTGAATGACTGTCAACGAGGACCAAGAAGAACTGGCCCTGAAAGGGCCCAGCGTAATCAATGTGCACCCTAGACCATGGGGACTGTGTTTCCTCCCATCTATGCACAGGAGCTTGGGGCATCTCTGGGCGAGAGCGCTGGCACAGGTGGCATGCATGCACCTTAGCCTCAATGTCCTTATCTAAACCAGGCCACCACAAGTGGCTGCGCGCAAGGGCCTTCATGCGAACAATGCCAGGATGACCCTCGTGGAGGGACTCTAAGATCCTAGTCCTCATTGAGGTGGGAATGACAACTCTGTTTCCCCAAAGCAGACAACCCTGAGAAGTGGACAACTCGTTCCTTTTGGACCAGAAACTCTGAAACTCAGGACTAGGGCAGTGCTCAGGCCATCCAGACAAAACCCAAGAAAGGACACGTGAAAGTGTGTGATCTGTGCCTGTTTCAGCGGCGACATCCCTGGCATTCAGAGGGGACTCGGGCAAGGCTTGGATGGATAGAATGTTGACAGCTGGCGCAGGGTCAGCTTCTACTACTGGCAGGGGCAATCTACTGAGGCCATCAGCATGGCCCATTTCTTTCCCAGGCTTGTGGAGTAAGGAAAAATCATATGCAGACAGAAAAATAGACCACCTAAGCATTCTAGGGGAAAGGATTTGGGGAGTTTGTTTACGTGTGGTAAACAGTCCCAGCAGAGGCTTATGGTCAGTGAAGACCATGAAATGCCTGCCATACAAGAAATCATGGAATTTTTTAATTCCAGCAACAACAGCCAGAGCCTCCCTGTCTATCTGAGCGTAGTTGCGCTCAGCAGAAGACAGTGTTCTGGATTAATATGCAACAGGAACCTGAGTTCCATCAGACCTGAGGTGGCTCAGGACGGCTCCTACCCCGTAAGGGGAAGCATCACAAGCGATGCACACAGGAAGGGACTCATTGAAGTGTGCAAATACACTGTTAGAAGTGAGTAAAGCCTTGACCTCATTGAAACTAGCCTCATGTGTTTGTGACCAGTGCCACACTGCTTGCTTGTCTAGTAGCCTGTGAAGAGGCTCAGCTACACTGGCTTTATGTGGAAGAAAAGAATTGTAGAAATTCAGGAGGCCCAGGAAGGCCTGAAGTTCGGCCTTGGACTTTGGCCTAGGTGCTTCTAAAATGGCAGTTAGTTTGGATTCAGCAGGGTGAATCCCAGCAGCATCAATTTTGAACCCCAGAAATTCAGTAGAAGGCACCCCAATTTTGCATTTGTCTTTTTTGAGCTTGAGGCCTGTTTTCCTGAATCTTAACAGAACAGCCCTTAGCCTTTCAGCTAGAATGTGTGTGGAGTCTCCTGCAATTAAGACATCATCAAAGTAGGGGCAAACCCCCGGTATGCCCCGTAGTGTGTTTTCCATTACGCTTTGGAAAATCCCAGGAGCGACATTCACTCCAAACTGTAGCCTTTTTACCTTAAAGGCTCCCCTGTGGGTCACAATAGTCTGAGCTATAGCAGCATCATCATCAACAGGCAGCTGTTGATACGCTTGAGCTAGGTCAAGCTTTGCAAAAACGCGCCCCCCCTTGAGGAGGCCAGAATATGACTGACCACAGGAACAGGATAGGCATGTTGCTGCAATGCCTTATTAAGAGTGCATTTGTAGTCAGCACAAATGCGAATGTCCCCATTTGCCTTTAGAGGTGTGACAATGGGGGTCTCCCAAGGACTGGAATCAACAGGTTCTAGGATTCCCTGTTGGATCAGTTTGTCTAACTCAGTGTCAATTTTACTCTTTAAAGCAAAAGGGACCCTTCTTGCTTTAATTCTAATGGGCGTGACAGTGGGGTCTAGTTTTAAGGACACAGGAGGTCCCTTGAATGTGCCCAGCTGGGGGCTGAAGACATCTGCAAATTCTTTGCAGACTTCCTGTAGGTCGAGTGTTTGTAAGCTGTTGAGCCCCGTGACGTGTATCCCCAAGGCTTCAAACCAATCGAGTCCTATGAGACTCGTTCGTTCACCCCCTACTACTAATATGTCTAGTGGACCTTCAAAATTCTTATACTGTACGTTAAGGGTGGCCTCCCCCTTAACACACACTCTCGAATTTTGAAAGTCTGTTAACACAATGTCAGAAGGCCTTAATTTAGCCTGAGTTCCACTGCCGGAACAAATCTTCCTAAATGTATGTAAGGATATGATTGAAAGGGCAGACCCCGTGTCTAGTTCCATAGTTAATGGAACCCCTTGTAGCTTCACCTTGAGTGACAGCTTTTTCTTGATGGGCTTGTGTGTGCCTGTCCTGAAGATGCTTCTTCGCGAAGCGCAAAAACCTACCCTATTCTGGCTGGGGACCCTGGTACCTTTCAGGCACAGTTCTTCCTGAGGTTGTACCTTTCGTCGGCCCAGACACACAGCTGCAATATGTCCTTGTTTCCCGCACGCCCGGCAGATAGCGGAGCGGAACTTGCAGTCGATTCTCCTGTGGCGACCTCCACAGCGATGCACTTGAGGGGAACTGCAAGAGCTTCCTTTCTGATTCCCTTCCTTCGTGGGGTGGAGACGGTCGACTTCCTCATCCGGATCCTCCTCGGAGTTCCCTTGGATGTCCTCTTGGTGCACGGATGCAACATCTGGACTGTTCCTGATCGGCGGCATGTTTTTGACGGCGCCGCCTGCTGCTTCTTCTGCGGTGACCTCTCTTAAGGCATCTTGGAAGGACAATTCTTCTTTGGCGAAAAGCCTCTGTTGTAGATCTCGATGCCTTAAGCCGCACACGAATCGGTCCCTCAGTCGTTCTTCGAGGTCCTTGAACTCGCAGTGCTTGGCGGCCTTCCTCAATGCGGCGATGTATTCTTTGGCCGACTCTCCGGATCGTTGATCCCTCTGCTCGAAGGTGTGGCGCCATGCGATGACGGACATCTTGGGCTGGAAGTGCTCCTTCAATAGCTTCTTTAGATCTGCGTAGCTGACAGACTCTAATGGGACAGGTGCTGCAAGGTTCTCTGCGATTTCGAAGGCGTCTTGACCGCAGACACAAAGCAGGGTGGCAGCCTTCAAGCTATCTTCCCTCACTTGGTTCACCTTGAGGTAATTTTCCACCCTGGCTACGTAGGACTCCCACCACTCTGGATGTGAGACATCGAACTCCGAAAGCCTTCCAACCTTTGCCATTTCAGGAGACGGGTCTATCAGCCAGCCTACCCCCGAATGCGCACTGGATTGGTGGGTAGCTGCCGAGTCAACGCCGTTCCGTCGTTCCACCGCTCAGGACTCACTTGGGTAAGCTTACACCTCTTTCTTTCCAGGCGATGTAAGGCATCCCACCCTCGTCGCCAGTGTTGAGTCCTTGGCGAAAAGCAGACGCGAGAAGCAGTTGTAGTTCTCAGGTTTCCTTTTATTCTGTGTTCAGCTTACAAGTGAAGGCTTCAGCAACGCCAAAAGCTCCTAGCCTCTTATATAGGCAGTTCCCGGGTCAATGTGTTACTTTTCCCACGCCAGCACCCGCGCATGTGCACAGGCGCTGGCGACAGCCTGTCTGGTCCCGGGCAGCTTGCACCTGCCCGGGACTGCCTGCAAACGCCCCGAGCCCGTTTGCAAGGCTCGGGACATAACAGTTACTATTAGGAATACTAGAGAAAAATGTAAATAAAGAGGACATATATTTAATTATCCATGTGGTCACAACAGCAAGGATACTATTTGCTCAAAAGTGGAAAGCAATGGAAGTACTGAGTGGGGAAGCACTAATAAAGAAAATCATGTATTGCGCAGAACTAGATAGGATAACTAAAAGATTTAAAAAATTAGGAAGAAACAGAATTTTATCGAATATGGAATAAATTTTATAGATGGAGGGGGAAAAATGGAGGTCACAGTAAAGAGATAAACTGAGATAGAAACTAGAAATGTATAGTTGTATACAGGTATATTATATGTAATTAATGTACAATATGGACTGAGATGTCAGTCAAAGACGATTTACCATGTTCAGTGTTTTTAATCTTTTTTTTTCTTTGTACTTAATAAACATTTTAAAAAAAAGAAGTTACAACTGCATTGAAAAGAGTGACTTATGACCATTTTTCACACTTATGATCATGGTCGTGATCAGAATTCAGACACTTGGCAACTGACTCATATTTATGATGGTTACAGTGTCCTTGGTCATCTAATCCAGAGGTCCCCCACCCCTAGGTGGCAGTCCACTACTGGACCCCGGCTTGTTCAAAATCAGGCCACAGGAGAAACGGGCAAGGGTGGGCATGCAAAGCTCCACTTGAGCAAACAGAGGGCTTCTTCCGTGTGAAGCTCCACTCACAGGAGCCCCCTCCACTCACATGAGTGGAGCTTCATGCGTGAGCACAAGCACCCTTCAACCTGCCCCTTACATGCCCACCTCCCCACACACACATTGGTCCTGGCCATTAAGCTGGAAAGGTTGGGGACTGCTGATGTAAACCCCCTTTGCAACTTTCTGACAAGCAAAGTCAACGCAGAAGCCAGATTCACTTAACAAGGGTGTTACTAACTTAACACCTCAGTGATTCACTTAAAAGCGGTGGCAAGAAAATGGAGACAATTCACTTAACAAATGTCTCACTTAGCAACAGAAATTTTGGGCTCAGTTGTGGTCATAAGTTGAGGACTACCCGTATTTAAGGTGTAATGGGATTCAAGAAGGGTTGGACTTAGACTGTTTGTGGGATTGTAATAATTCCAGGCTAATTCCTCTCTTGACTCCACCACCCCCAGGCTTTGCCGATCCTTCTCATACAGCTCCGTTTTCACTTCCATGAGATCGCTCTCCAGGGTTTTCTTTCTTTTCAGCTGCCAAGAACCCACCCACAAATCTCTATGTGGATTCGGAAACCCCCAGCAGCCTTCGGGTTCACTGGACTCCTCCTGACGCAGCAGTCCAGCACTACAGAATCAGCTACAGCCCAGAACGGAGTCACAGCAAGCAGCAGGACACGGTATGCAGAATGGACAGGCAAGACCCTCTTCCCATCACCTGGGTTCAAGGTTTGGTATTAAATGGAAGTAAAGATTTAGACTGAAAATTTCCTTGGGCAAAATCATGGCGAAATCTAGCAATGAGAGCTATGTGTGGTGACTTGATGGTTTGCTTGCTTACTTGCTTGCTTGATTCGTTCCTTCCTTCCTTCCTTCCTTCCTCCCTCCCTCCCTCCCTCCCTCCCTCCCTCCCTCCTTCCTTCCTTCCTTCCTTCCTGTGGTTGGATTCAGCCAGTTTGCACCACTTCGGAAGAACCAGTTGGACTTTTGGAAGCGGCATCCACACGGAAAACCAGTTGTTCACATATTTGAATCCCACCACTCCTTCCTTCCTTCCTTCCTTCCTTCCTTCCTTCCTTCCTTCCTTCCTTCCTTCCTTCCTGCCTGCCTGCCTGCCTGCCTGCCTTCCTTCCTTCCATATAGCTGCCAGTCTCACATGTATGAGTCTGGGCAGTTTACAGTAATTAACACATCAATAAAACCAACAAAATGCAAGTGAAAGAAGCCAAAATACCTACCGTGAAAGCATGTTAAAACCATAACATATTAGCTGAGCTACCAGAAACATCCATAGCTCTCAGCATAATCATTCAATGGGCTCTGCACCACAACTGGATCGTCAATCCAGATGGCAAAACTGTGTCTTCAAAACCTTCTGTAAGGTGAATAGGGTCGGGACCAATCTAATCTCTGTTGAATGTCTGGTTAGCAGAGGGATAGATCAAGATCATATGAAGTGTTAATATCACTTTATAATGCCTTGGTAAGAGCCCATTTTGTCTGGGTCAACATATTCTCCAAAGCAACGGTCCTATGTCACTTTTTTCAGTGTCATTGTAACTTTAAACAGTCACTAAATGAATGTTCATAAGTCGAAGACTACCTGTATTAATACACATGAACTGTTTGAATGGAAATGCAGCCTCCATTCTATATTTTTAAGACACAAGGTGTCTTATCTGAAGGACTTCCATTTTATTTCCACCGCCTATAAGAAAAGATAAACAGAGAGATACAGATTCAAGGTCAACCTTTAGCTTTTACAGCTGAAGATTTTTTTAAAAAAATAGTCCTCTACAATCTCATCTCTTACTGATCTGACATACCCTTGATAGCATAATAAATTTCAATCAAGGAGAATTGGATTTCAATTTCTGCGTAACCCTTCCCCTTGCTGGATAATTATGGATCAGACACAGTGTCTCAGCTAAGCTACTGCACAATTGTCTTGTGCCGGAGACAAAAGTAGGGATAGCTCCCTGATAAAATTTGATACATGAAGTCCTCGACTTACGATCATTTCATTTAGTGACAATTTGAAGTTACAATAAAACTGAAAAAAGTGACTTATAACTGCCTACCTACTTACAACCACATGGTCATGTGATCTCAATGTGGGAGTCTTAGAAACTGGCACGTATTTACAATGGCTTATGTGTCCTGCCATGGTTGTGCAATCTTTGTGACCTTCCTTGTCAGCTTCCAACAAGCCAAGTCATCAGGGGATTTGAGTAACAATCAGATGATTTGCTTAACAACTGCAGTGATTCACTTAACAACTGTGGCAGTAAAGATGGTAAAACTGGATGGGATCCATTTAATAACCCCCTTGCTTAGCAATGGAAATTCTCGTCCCGGCTAGTTGTAGTGAGGAATCCGAGGTCTGTTAAACTTAGTTTTTGTTATTTACAATCACTATACTTGGGGTATTAATACCAAGATCATGGTATCCGGCCCTCTCAATTCCTGGCAAATATATGAGGAAGAAATAGGAGGTAGTGACAGATTTTATCTTCCTGGGCTCCAAGATCACCGCAGATGGAGACTGCAGCCAAGAAATTAAAAGACGCTTGCTCCTAAGGAGGAAAGCTATGCAAATCTAGACAGCATACTAAAAAGCAGAGAAATCACCCTGCCGACAAAAGTACGTATAGCAGTGGTTCTCAACCTTTCTAATGCCGCGACCCCATAATACAGTTCCCCATGTTGTGGTGACCCCCAACCACCGGGTGCCAGGGGCGTGGCGAAAGAAAAGGGGAAAAAAATGGCGGACAGCCTTGTTTGGCGACCCCCATGAAATGGTCGTTCGACCTCAAATGGGGTCCCGACCCACAGGTTGAGAACCACTGACATATAGTCAAGGCCATGGTTTTCCCAGTTGCAATGTATGGCTGTGAAAGTTGGACCATAAGAAAGGCTGAGTGCCTAGGAATTGAGGCCTTTAAACTATGTTGCTGAAGAAGACTCCTGCAAGTCCCCTGGACTGCAAGGCAATCAAATCGGTCAGTCCTAGAGGAGATCAACCCTGACTGCTCTTTAGAAGGTCAGATCCTGAAGCTGAAACTCAAGGACTTTGGCCACCTAATGAGAAGGAAGGACTCACTGGAGAAGAGCCTAATGCTGGGAAAGATGGAGGGCAATAGAAGAAGGGGATGACAGAGAATGAGGTGGCTGGATGGAGTCACTGAAGCAGTAGGCGTGAGCTTAAATGGACTCCAGAAGATGGTAGAGGACAGGAAGGCCTGGAGGAACGTTGTCCATGGGGTTGCGATGGGTCAGACACAACTTTGCAACTAACAACAGCAACAAAGGAAAAGGGGGACATTTCCAAGCGTCATCAGTTATGTGGGGTCCTTGGTGCTCTCTCAGCTTGGTAGTTTTCTTGCAGATATTTCATTATCACACCAGGTAACAACATCAGTGATAATTATAGGTAGTCCTCGACTTATGACCTTAATTGAGTCCAGGATTTATGTTGCTAAGTGCGATATTTGTTAAGTGAGTTTTGCCCCATTTTTCTTGGCTTTTCTTGCCACAATTGTTCAGTCAATCACTGCGGTTGTTAAATGAGTAACACAGCTGTTAAGTGAGTCTGGCTTCCCCATTGACTTTGCTTGTCAGAAAGTTGCAAAAGGGGATCGCGTGACCCCTGAGGATGCGGCAACCGTCATAAATATGAACCCATTGTCAAGCATCTGAATGCAAATTATGTGACCACAGGGATGCTGCAACGGTCATAAGCATATAAAAAATGGTCCTAAGTCACTTTTTTCAGGGCGGTTGTAACTTTGAATGGTCACTAAATGAACTATTTTCAAGTTGAGGACTACCTGTATGAGCTCAGAGAGCACCAAAGTCTCCACAGTTGACTTCTGAGCTACAAATATTGTCTTTTATCAATATCAGCACTTAACAATATAATGCAGTTGTAAGGGACCTTGGGGATCTTCTAGTCCAGTGGTTCTCAACCTGTGGGTCAGGACCCCATTTGGGGTCGAATGACCATTTCACGGGGGTCGCCAAACAATGCAGTCCGCCATTTTTTCCCCCTTTTTCTTAGCTGTGCTACTCCCTTTTATTCTATTGGCTTTTGAAAGCCAATAGAATAGACTCTCTTGAATAGAGTCTATTTCTATTGGCTTTCAAAAGCCAATAGGAATTGTCCAGGCTGTCTCTGCCCTGCTGAGCCCGCCAAAAGTTCCATTCTGCAAACGGTGCTGCACCAGTTGAGTAATCCTTGACTTATGACCGGTTGAGTAGTCCTCGACTTACGACCGGTTGGGGGTTGCGGCATTAAAAAGGTTGAGAACCACTGTTCTAGTCCAAGGGTAGGTAACCTTGGCTCTTTTATGACTCGTGGACTTCAACTCCCAGAATTCCTGAGGCAGCATGAGTCAGCATGGAAACCTCTCCCTTTTCCCTCAGCGTGGCTGGCTCAGGAATTCTGGGAGTTGAAATCCACCAGTCATAAAAGAGCCAAGGTTGCCTACCCCTGGGCTAGCCCAACCCCCTGCTCAAGCAGGAGACCTTATACCATTTCAGACAAATGCTTGTCCAATCTCTTCTTAAAAAGCTCCAGTGCTGGAGCATCCATAACTTCTAGCGGCAAGCAGTTCCACTGATGGATATTCTCACTGTCGTGAAATTTCTCCTTAGTTCTGGAGTGGTTCTCTCCTTGATTAGTTTCCATCCATTCTTCTTCAGTCCTGTCTCCAATTATTCATTTGTTACAGTATTTGTCCTGTTGAGTCTTAAAATCACATTGCTAGGTTGTAAAAAAAATCTTATATTCTCCTTTCTACAGATAACAGTGTCTGGTAGGATCCAGTCCATTGTTCTCCATTCTCTTCTGCCTGCTAGAGTCTATACAGTGACCGTAATTGCAGTCTATGTTACAGGAGAGAGTGACCCTGTGTCTGTCATTGGCCGGACAGGTGAGTCCATCCATCATTTGGTTCTTTTCCTTTGCACCATCTCTCATTTCTTGGTCTCCTTTTAAGCTTTATACTGTTTGCTGCGGATACTCCACTAATTGTGAGGAGCAAGAAATGGTGGTATTAGAGTGAAATAAGGTCATTTTTTTTTGCTGGGGGAGATCTATAGATATATTTCAAGCTCTCTCTCTAAACTTACATCATCTTACTGGTAGTCCTTGACTTAGGACCACAGCTAAGCCCCAAATTTCTGTTGTTAAGCAAGACAGTTGGCAAGTGGATAGGTCCCTCTTGTGTGATGGGCGATTCATCTTCCTGTCTTCTCCTTTTAAAAGAGGCCTCAGATGATTGTTTTCTACTGATGCAGAGCTTGCTATAATTCACCAGTGGTCTTCTGGCTGGTGGACAGATGAGACCGGTGGCAGCTCAGGGTTGAACTGTGGGGTCCTTGGTGTTCTCTGAGCTCATTTGTTTTCTTGCAGACATTTCATTATCCAATTAGGTAACATCAACAATGCAAATCTACTCCCTTCAAGTACTGATGATGCTACCTAGTTGGGTAATGAAAGGTTTGCAAGAAAACAACCAAGTTCAGAGAACACCAAGGACCCCACAGTTGTCCTCCTCCTCCTCCTCCTCCTGTTTTTCCTCTACTCCACAAACACCTCTCCCTTCTAGCACTGATGATGTTATCTTGTTGGGTAATGAAATGTCTGCAAGAAAACAACCAAGCTCAGAGAGCACCAAGGATCCCACAGTGTCCTGGTTCCAACAGATGAAACTCTTCAAAGAACTTTGAGGCATTGTTTACCTTAAAGAATCTTTACTGGAGTAGCATAGCATCGGCACTAACATAGTTGAAGCCAAAAACTGGATTCCCGTTCCCTGAGCCCATAGTATCAAAGCACAATTCCCTCCTCCAATTAACAGTCATACATCACATTCTCTAATTAGTTTGAAATGCAGGCTTCCCCTCCAGTTCTCCAGCTCCAGTTCTTATCATCTCTTATTTCATTAACCTTGGCTCATACACTTAAGTCCAGTGTTATTATGTCTATCTAAACTCTCATGCACAATCCTTCCCACCATCTAACTCTTGTCAAAACAAAAACATCCGATGTTGTCTTCCTCCTCCTCCTCCTCCTCCTCCTCCTCCTCCTCCTCCTCCTCCTCCTCCTCCTTTCCATAAGCATCTCTCCTTTCTAGCACTCACGATGTTACCTAGTTGGGTAATGAAAGTCCTACCAAAAACCAACTAAATTCAGAGAGCACCAAGGATCTCACAGTTCCACCCCGATTTACAAATCTTCTCTTCTATTGGATTACAAACTGTATTTAGATGTCTTCTCGCCTAAAATTATACAGAGATAACAAAAGATAAAACATCCTACTGTTATGGTATTGATTTGCAGATTGGATTGCATATTGACCTTCGAGCCGTTGGGTTTCAGCACAATCTTTTATTTTGCTTCTTATAGCTTCTGTCTTGGCTCGATTGCCCAGCGTGAAAGAATCTCAGTTCTTCAAAACACAGGGTAAGATTTCACCTCGAGAATTTTCAATAGTGATTGCTTTTTGGCTGATGGATGATGGAGGGAACTAGGTCTGTCTTGTCTAATGAAGAGAAGGGTTAAGTGGAACATGATAAGTGTCCTATTCTCCAAAGTACCAGAGGGCAGGATAAGAAGTAATGGGTGGAAAATCATTAAAGAGAGAAGCAACCTAGAACTATGAAGAAATTTCCTGACAGTGAGAACAATTAACCAGTGGAACAACCTGCCTCCAGAAGCGGTGAATGCTCCAACACTGGAAGTTTTTAAGAAGAGACTGGACAGCCATTTGTCTGAAATGGTATAGGGCAGTGGTTCTCAGCTTGCGAGTCGGGACCCCATTTGGGGTCGAACGACCATTTCACGGGGGTCGCCAAACAAGGCTGTCCGCCATTTTTCCCCCTTTTTCTTTGGCCAGGCCCCTGGCACCCGGTGATGTATAAGTGGTTGGGGGTCACCACAACATGGGGAACTGTATTATGGGGTCGCGGCATTAGAAAGGTTGAGAACCACTGATATAGGGTTTCCTGCCTGAGCAGGGGGTTGGACTAGATCACCTCCAAGGTCCCTTCCAACCTTTTTATTCTATTTTCTGTTCTTGAGAATTATGTCAGGGAGCGATGTTCTTCCTTTATAAGTCCAGTATCAACTTTTCGGTGGCTAGAATCCGAAATTCTTTCTCCCGTGTTTTCTCTCTTTGCCTCTCTCTTTCTCTCATTTGCCTGGAATCAGCACAATTTTCTCTCAGTTCTGAAGTCCCAAATATTTCTTTTTCTCCAGTTCAACTCTAAGTAAAACAAATGCAAACTCACATGCTGTGGAGTTATTAGAGTGGTTACAAATGCCTGGCATTATTCAGTGGTGCATTTTTTTATTCTTCCGCCCTTGGCAGAAGAGAAAACGATGAATGTATTTCAGAACCCCTTCCAATTAAATCCCTCCGCCTCCTGGAAATTGTGCTATTAGTGGAAGTGGGGGGTTTCCATAAAGCAGTGTTTCTCAACCTTGACAATTTTAAGGCATGTGGACTTCAACTCCCAGAATTCCACAGCCAGCATTGCTGGCTGTGGAATTCTGGGAGTTGAAGTCCACATGCCTTAAAATTGTCAAGGTTGAGAAACACTGCATAAAGACTGGGAATGAAATATACTGGAGAGCTCATTTGGAGCAAATATTCTGTAAGATGGGCTATCTATCTGTCTGCCTGCCTGTCTATCTATCTATCTGTGGAAGTAAATTGTAAAATGCAGATGGCTGGCAGGAGAATTCTGGGAGTTGAAGTCCACAAAAAAGATGTGGAGAGATTAGAAAAAGTTCAGAGAAGAGCAACTAAGATGATCAAAGGCCTGGAGACTAAAACATACGGAGAACGGCTGCGCGGCTTGGATGTGGCTAGTCTAAAGAAAAGAAGAAATAGGGGAGACATGATAGCAGTGTTCCAGTATGTGAGGGGCTGCCACAAAGAAGAGAGGGTCCTGTTATTCTCCAAAGCACCAGAGAGCGGGACAAGAAACAATGGTTGGAAACTGACCAGAGAGAGAAGCAACCTGGAATTAAGGAGAAACTTCCTGACAGTGAGGACAATTAACCAGTGGAACAGCTTTCCTCCAGAAATTATGGGCACTCCATCACTGGAGGTTTTTAAGAGACTGGACAATCACCTCTCTGAGATGATATAGGTTCTCCTGCATGAGCAGGGGGCTGGACTAGAAGACCTCCAAGGTCCCTTCCAGCTCTTGTTGTTGTTAACTGCGAAGTCGTGTCCGACCCATCGCAACCCCATGGACAACGTTCCTCCAGGTCTTCCTGTCCTCTACCATCTTCTGGAGTCCATTTAAGTTCACACCTACTGCTTCAGTGACTCCATCCAGCCATCTCCTTCTCTGTCGTCCCCTTCTTCTATTGCCCTCAATCTTTCCCAGCATCAGGCTCTTCTCCCGTGATCCTTCCTTCTCATTAGGTGGCCAAAGTCCTTGAGTTTCAACTTCAGGATCTGGCCTTCTAAAGAGCAGTCGGGGCTGATCTCTTCTAGGACTGACCGGTTTGAACGCCTTGCAGTCCAAGGGACTCGCAGGAGTCTTCTCCAGCACCATAGTTCAAAGGCCTCAATTCCAGCTCTATTCTATTCTAAGTCTTAAAGTTGCCAAGGTTGAAAACCCTGTTCTGGACTGCCTACGGGTACTCCTCAACTTATGACCACAACGGAGCTCAACATTTCTATTGCTAAGCGAGACAGTTGTTAAGTCAGCTTTGCCCCATTTTAACAACCTTTCTTGTCAAGTTGTTAAGTGAACCACTGCAGATGTTAAGTCGGTAACACCCTTGTTAAGTGAATCTGGCTTTCCCTTCAACTTTGCTTGTCAGAAGGTCGCAAAAGGGGATCACATGACCCCGGGAACACTGCAACCGTCATAAACCCATGCCAGTTGCCAAGCACTGGAATTATGATCATGTGACCACTGGAGGGCCGAAACGGCCGTAAGTGTCAAAAGCAGTCATAAGTCACTTTTTTCCGGTGCTGTTGTAAATGCTGAATGGTTGCTAAATGAACTGTTGTAAGCTGAGGACTACCTGTATTTCCTGTAGAAAGTGGAAGATCCTGGCTCAGGCAGTTGTTTCTGTTCATTCATGGGGGTAGTCTCCACTGCCTTCTCCTTCTCTGCCAGAGAGCTCAAACAGCGGTTAGGGAGGTGACCAGTTAGAGATGCTGTATTACACTGTTCCCAAACCATGGCAACCTCCAGCTGTATGGACTCAAATCCCAGAATTCCACAGCCAGCATGGCCACGGATGGGAATTGTGGAAGTTGAAGTCCATACACATGAAGAATGGTTGAAGAAACTGGGTATGTCTGGTCTGACAAAGAGAAGGACGAGGGGTGACATGATAGCAGGGTTCCAGTATCTCAGGGGCTGCCCCAAAGAAGAGGGAGTCAAGCTATTCTCCAAAGCGCCTGAAGGCAGGACAAGAAGCAACGGATGGAAACTAATCAAGGAGAGAAGCAACCTAGAACTAAGGAGAAACTTCCTGACAGTGAGAACAATTAACCAGTGGAACAACCTGCCTCCAGAAGCGGTGACTGCGCCAACACGGGAAGTTTTTAAGAGACTGGACAGCCATTTGTCCGAAATGGTATAGGTCTCCTGCTTGAGCAGGGGGTTGGACTAGAAGACCTCTAGGGTCCCTTCCAACTCTGTTATTCTGTTATTCTATCACTAAGTTTAGGAAACCCTGCTCTCATGGGTCATGCATCAAATAAAGAGTTGGGCTAAAACTGATCTCTGAGATACCTCCCAATTCTATGATTCTGTGTTCACTGTTAGATTTAAAGAAGTTAAATGCTCTTTTGAAATGACAGCAGTGATGATATGCTTGAAGCAGAGTCAATGTGGACTTCGCAAACGGAAATATTCTCTCAGGTACTTTCCTTTTCTTCAGAGCTATCTCTGATTTTTCAAATAAGCACCACTTTTTTCCGCCTTTGGGCATAGCCCTTGGACTGATTGAGAAGCAAACACAGGTATTACCCAACTCACAACCATTCATTTAGTGATTGTTCAAGTTACAACCTCACTAGGAAAAATGGACTTATGACCATTTTCCCACTTACAACCGCTGGAGCATCCCTGTGATCATGTGATCAAAATTTGGACACTTAAGGAAAGATGGATGGAATTGGGGCTGTCTAGCTTAATGAAGAGTAAGACGAGGGGGGACAAGATAGCAGTGTTCCAGTATCTCAGGGGCTGCCACAAAGAAGAGGGAGTCAAGCTATTCTCCAAAGCCGCCTGAAGACAGAACAAGAAGCAACGGATGGAAACTAATCAAGGAGAGAAGCAACCTGGAACTAAGGAGAAACTTCCTGACAGGTAGAACAATTAACCAGTGGAACAACCTGCCTCCAGAAGCGGTGAATGCTTCAACACTGGAAGTGTTTAAGAAGAGATTGGATAAGCATTTGTCTGAAATGGTACAGGGTTTCCTGCCTGAGCAGGGGGTTGGATTTGATGACCTCCAAGGTCCCTTCCAACTTTGTTGTTGTTGTTATTATTATTATTATTATTATTATTATTATTATTATTACTACTACTACTACTACTACTACTATTATTATTATTATTATTATTATTATTATTATTATTATTATTATTATTATTATTATTTCTTCTCCTCAACATACTAACTGGGGCATTCTGGGAGTTGAAGTCTACCCATGAGTTCTGAGGTTGAGAAACCCTGCTTTAGAGGTGGATAAGATTTGAGGTAGAGGAAAGCAGGGCTAGATATATTAGAAGAATAAGTTGAGGTTCCAACTGAAGCCAGGGTTGTGTAAGAATAAATCAAAATGAAATCCAGACAGCTGTGACAAAAGGACATTTATTTATTCCCCAAAACATTTGCCTGTTTGCCTGTGGGGATAGCTACAGTGAATATGACCCTGACCTGGGTATGGGTCTTGAGGGGTGTGGAAATGTATATGTGCTTGTTCTAGGGCAGGGCTAGGCAACCTTGGCTCTTTTATGACTTGTGGACTTCAACTCCCAGAATTCCTGAGCCAGCATGGCTCAGCATGGAAACCTCTCCTTTTCCCCTCAGCATGGCTGGCTCAGGAATTCTGGAAGTTGAAGTCCACGAGTCATAAAAGAGTCAATAGAATAAAAGGGAGAAGCACAGCTAAGGAAAAGGGGAAAAAAATGGTGGACTGTGTTGTTTGGCGACCCCCATGAAATGGTCGTTCGACCTCTAATGGGGTCCCAACCCACAGGTTGAGAACCACTGCCTTAGATATTGGAAGACTGCTATTGTGTCATATCCTGGTCCTTCTCTTCATTAGACTAGACCAGGGGTAGGCAACCTTGGCTCTTTTATGACTCATGGACTTCAGCTCCCAGAATTCCTGAGCCAGCAGGGCTCAGCTTGGAAACCTCTCCCTTTCCCCTCAGCCTGGCTGGCTCAGGAATTCTGGGACTTGAAGTCCACGAGTCATAAAAGAGCCAAGGTTGCCTACCCCTGTTCTGGGGTAACACTTGGAGCAGTGTGGGATTCAAATATGTGAACAACCGGTTCTCTGTGTGGATGCCGCTTCCAGAAGTCAATTCTGGGCCTGGGCAACAAAAAATTAGCTACCGGTTCTGCTGAAGTGGTGTGAATCAGCTGAATCCCACCACTGACTTGAAAGATTTGGATGTGTGTATGTGTAGACCTGGAGAAGCAGTTGATTAAATCAAGTGATGTGGATTGGGTCTCTTCATTTGAGCTGTGAACAATGTCTCCATTGTGTTACTTGAGTTTTGTATGTTTGCTTGTGTGTACAATTTGTAATAAGTGTTTAATTAATTCTTATTTTTGCTGTAGGTTTAAAGGAGTTTGGAGGCTGTTAATCTGTAACTTTGTTGGATACCTGGGTTAGTTAACCTGTGATTCCCTATATAATATTTCCAACGTAGTTATATAAATGTATACATTCTTCCCACAGATAGGAGAAAATCTTCGTAGTTCAGGGTTGAGTTGTGGAGTCCTTGGTGGTCTCTGAGCTTGGAGGTTTTCCTGCAGATGTTTCTTTACCAAAATACATAACAATGTTCCACGTGAAAGATGCTTTTATTACACACCACTCTTCGCTGCAGATTTCAAATATCTGTCGATTGTTTCCTTGCCTCTTCATCCTTCCCTGTTCTCTGTCCTTCTGTAGGCTGCCCTTCGCTTCGGTCCACGGATGGCCCCCTACAAGGTAGGCCTACCAGCTTTTTCTTTGATTACAAAGAATTGGATCTTCCTGTTTGCGTGCTCAAAGAGCTAGAACGGTGGTTCTCAATCTGTGGTCTGTGGATCCCTGGAGGGCTTGAAGAAATGTTATGATTTAAATCTTGAGTTAAGTCATGGGGGTCCGTGGTCATGATTGGTGGCCACAAAAGGTATGTAAAGAGGGTCTGTGGTCGGGAAAAGGTTGAGAATCACTGATCTAGCTGCTGTAGATATTAAAACACCAATGAGAGCATCCTTAGTTAATAAAGTGTCTCAATAAGTAGACTATGTTGGGAATGTGGCAAGCATCATATTGTTTTAGAACTGGAGGAGGCTTAATGTAGCCAAAGCAATTTTTTATTCCTCGATCCAAAATCCTGCTACGTATGTGTGTTTTCATGAATGTGTCTGTGTGTGTATTTCTGGAAGGGATTAACTAAGAACAAATGGTTTAAAAATTTGACAAATAAATAAATAACAAAGTGTGTGCCAAGAGTACTGTTTATAATTCTAGCAGTGTTGCCCAACCCTTGAAAGTTATCCCAGCTCTGTGGCTAAAGCAAGCAGAGTTTGATGTATATGCTGGTTAATATGCTGGCTTAGAAACTAGGAGATTGTGAGGTCTAGTCCCGCCTTAGCCATGAAAGCAGGCTGGGTGACTTTGGGCCAATTATCAGGAGATTGTGAGTTCTAATTCTGCTTTAGGCATGAAAGCCGACTGGGTGGTCTTTAGACCAGTCATTCTCTCTCAGCCCAACCCACCTCACATACTTGTTATTGTGGGGAAAACATGAGGAAGAAGGAGTATTAGGTATGTGTCACATGTTCCGACTAATGAAGTACTTCAAAGAACTTTCAGGCATGTTTCCTAAAATCTTTATTGCAGAGCTACAGTTTTGCCGGTCGCCATGATGGACTGGTTGATGCCAGAATCTGAACTTCCTTTCGCTGGCATCAAGCTTTCCTTGCTAAACCCCTCCCTTCTCATGCAGTCACAGGTCACATTATCCAATTAGTGAGAAGGTCAAAAGTTTGCTTCCTCTTTCTTTCCCGGGCTTTCCCCCCCCCCCGCCCAGTCTAAGCTAAGTATTAACCCAATAAATGCCAGACAGTTTTGCATATTGTCAAAGCAAGAATATACGGTATTTGCAGCATTGACAGTATGTTTACCATCTTGAATTACTTATAAAGTAATAAAGGTGGGATAAAAAAAATCAAATAAATGTATAGAGCAACAGTAATATATGAAGATGCTGGAAGTGGAAGATCCCTTTAGTCATATTGACAAAAGGATCCTTTCATCCTGTGCAGAAGGAAACAATGGTAAACCACTTCTGTGTTTTATGAAGGAAACCACAAGGATAGATAAAATAAAGTGATTGACAGTATAGTACCGAATGACAGTCCTTCAGGTCACATGATACCCAACATATCAATAGCACTTATATACCACTTCACGGTGCTTTACAGCTCTCTCTAAGCGGTTTACAGAGTCAGCATTATTGCCCCCCAACAATCTGGGTCCTCATTTTACCGACCTCAGAAGGATGGAAGGCTGAGTCAACCTTGAGCCAGTCAGGATCGAACTCCTGGCAGTCGGCAGAGTTAGCCTGCAATACTGCATTCTAACCACTGCGCTACCATGGCTCCTTACTCTAACTTACTTAACTGCAGCAATTTGCTTAACAGCTGTTTCAAAAAAAGATGGGGAAAAACTGACTGAACACCTGCGGTGGAAATTTTGGGGTCCTTTATCCAGGACTTCCTCTAAACCAATATAGCTTGTTTATGCTGTAAAGCAGTGTGGGTTGGTATATAAGCCTAATTGCTATCACTGTGGCTTCCTCCAAGTCAGAACAAAGCTTATTACAGACTTGCAACTCCCGTTCTAGGTTAGCTTCATCCACTTGCTATCTCATAAACTTCTTTATAAGCTATATTTTTTATATACTGTATATATAAAAATGTCACAGATAATTAGAGCTTCCAGCACTACTTTGAAGATTCCTTGAGGAATTTGTTTTCCCCTCCTTAAAACCCTTTGATTGCACCAAAATATCTGGTTAAAAATACTTGATTCAGTCGTTGCACTGACCTCTCGCTGGGTATGTCAACTTACCTGGAAATCCAACGGAAACGTTACTCTAGTGAATATGCCTTTTTCTTTTTTTCTTTGAGTGGAAAGAAAAAAAATAAAACCCAGAAAGTTCATCCAGAACTGGCTGTTGCAACTACAGATAGTCCTCAATTTACAACAGTTCAGTTAGGGACGGTTCAAAGTTACAATGACACCGAAAAAAGTCATTTTTGACCCTTTCCCCCAGTTACGACCTTTGTAGTATTCCCACGATCAGACGATCGTAATTCAGACGCTCGAAAACCGGTTCATACTTATGACCGTTGCTGTGTCCCAAGGTCACGTGATTGTCTTTTGCAGGCCTTTGGAGAAGCAAAGTCAATGGGGAAGCCAAATTCACTTAACAGGCATGTTACTATAAGTATGTTCACCTGCAGTGCCCCACTCATTTTTGCATGGTTTTTATTATAATTTGGTTCAAATGAAATTGAGATGAAGAGATTTCATGGCTGGGAACATTTACTAAATTGAACTCAGCCAGCGTTTGAATTAATCCGAAGTAGGGTATCCCTCCTTCGGTTGGCTTCGGTCCTCAGGATAATAATCGGAAACGGAGCTATAGAGATCAAGCTGGCAGATGAAACATATTGATTGAAACGTTTGGAAACATGCCTGTCTCACGATTTTTCCTCCTTTCTTGCTCGTCCCCAGCCTCAACTTTTCCATAAATTCAGATAGATAAACAAAGGAGAGGACAAAGATCTTCCTTCCCTTCCCTTTTCCCTTCCCCTTCTCCTTTTATGGAAGAATATGTATTCCTTTTTCTTTCTTTCTTTCTTTCTTTCTTTCTTTCTTTCTTTCTTTCTTTCTTTCTTTCTTTCTTTCTTTCTTTCTTTCTTTTTTCTCTTTGTTTTTCTTCCTACCTGTCAGCCTTGCTTCTCTCTCTTCTCCCTCCCTCCCTCCTTCCCTCCCTTCTTTCTTTCTTTCTTTCTTTCCTTCCTTCCTTCCTTCCTTCCTTCCTTCTTCCTTTCTTTCCTTTCCGCTTTCTTTCTTTCTTTCTTTCTTTCTTTCTTTCTTTCTTTTTTCTCTTTGTTTTTCTTCCTACCTGTCAGCCTTGCTTCTCTCTCTTCTCCCTCCCTCGTTTCTTTCTTTCTTTCTTTCTTTCTTTCTTTCTTTCTTTCTTTCTTTCTTTCTTTCTTTCTTTCTTTCTTTCTTTCCTTCCTTCCTTCCTTCCTTCCTTCCTTCTTCCTTTCTTTCCTTTCCTCCTTCTTTCTTTCTTTCCTTCTTTCTCTCCTTCTTTCCTCTTTCTTTTTCATCTCTTCTTTCTTCTTCTTCTCCTCCTCCTTTTTTGGAAGAATATGTATTCACCAAAGTCAACCCTGCTTAGCAATTTAAAAAGAGAAAGAGGCAGATGGTGTGTAAAAATGGGGCAGCAGGCAACCAACCTTGTTCATTGCCGTGCGCGATCTGGTGCACTTTAATAGCAAGGAAGTTTGTGGCTGACTCATCCACAGTCTCCCGAGGGCAAACCTGAACATTTTGCTAAGGTCTAGGATGATCTGCAGAGCCACAGAGCTAATCTCTGTGTGCAGACCTGTTCTTTTTTTCTCCTGAGAAGTGCTACTTTTAGTGCAGATGAGACAGATGGCTTTTCATCTGTAGTGTCAGAAAAATCCAGACTGGGCTACCTGTAGGATCAAGGGTCCTCTTTGTCAATGGCTCTTTAAAGGGTTATCAGATGAAGCAATAGATCCCCTGCCTCCTCCTAGAAACAGGGGTACAACTTTCTAAAGTCCCTCCCCCAATTGCCTTTGCAATATTTACACTAGTGTTTCTCAACCTTAGTAACCTTAAGATGTCTGGACTTCAACTCCCAGAATTCCCCAGCAAGCATGCTGGGAGTTAAAGTCCAGACATCTTAAAGTTGCCAGGGTTCAGGTGGTACCTGGTTCAATAGTAGTAACTGCAAGAGGGATCTAAGAATTATCATGGAGAACCATTTAAATATGAGCCAGCCGTGTGCTGCACCTCCCAAAAAAACCAATGCAGTTCTAGGCTGCATTAACAGAGGGATAGAAACAAGATCACATGAAGTGTTAATACCACTTTACAATACCTTGGTAAAGCCACACTTGGAATACTGCATCCAGTTTTGGTCAACACAATGTAAAACAGATGTTGAGACTCTTGAAAGAATATAGAGAAGAGCAACAAAGATGATTAGGGGACTGGAGGCTTAAACATATGAAGAACAGTTGCAGAAATTGGGTATGTCTAGTTTAATGAAAAGAAGGGATGACATGATAGCAGTGTTCCAAAGTCTAAGGGGCTGCCACAAGGAAAATGGTGTCAACCTATTCTCCAAAGCACCTGAAGGCAGGACAAGAAGCAACAGATGGAAACTAATCAAGGGGAGATCCAACCTAGAAATAAGGAGAAATTTCCTGACAGTGAGAACAATCAACCAGTGGAACAGCTTGCTTCCAGAAGTTGTGGGTGCTCCAAACACTGGAGGTTTTTCAAGAAGAGATTGGACAATGATTGCCTGAAATGGCTTAGGATTTCCTGCTTGAGCAAGGGGTTGGACTAGAAGATCTCCAAGGTCCCTTTCAACTATGTATCTGTTATTGTGGTTGAGAAACACTGGAATTTTCAGGTAGAATGTCAGGAAACAAGGAATCAAGGAAGGAGCATTGGATTCAGAGATGATTCCTTGAAATAGGAATGTCCCTACTCATGAGGCTATCATTAGTTATCCTACTGATAGCACCTTGGAGTTGAGCAAGCATAGAAAATCTATTCCTTCCATTGCACGCTGGCTGGAGAATTCTGGGAGTTGAAGTCCACACGTCTTAAAGTTACTGTGGTTAGGAACCACTGGTTTACATGATCAATATGTTCTACTTTTCACAGGTTTTGACATGATGGAGGCATTTGGACTGATGGACAAGGAATATGCCTCCATTAAGGGGATTGCTATGGAACCTTACATCTTCTTGGGAACTCACACCTACACCCTCTACAGAGATATCCAGCTAACCCGGAAAACAAGGTAGCAAGAGAAAATAATTAAGGAAGCTTGACTGTAAATCAGTGGTTCTCAACCTTTTTAATGCCGCGACCCCCAACCGGTCATAAGTCAAGGACTACTCAACCGGTTGTAAGTCGAGGACTATCAACTGGTGCAGCACTGTTTGCAGAATGGGACTTTTGGCGGGCTCAGCAGGGCAGAGACAGCCTGGACAATTCCTATTGGCTTTTGAAAGCCAATAGAATTAGATTCTATTCAAGAGAGTCTATTCTATTGGCTTTCAAAAGCCAATAGAATAAAAAGGAGTAGCACAGCTAAGGAAAAGGGGGAAAAAATGGCAGACTGCGTTGTTTGGCGACCCCTGTGAAATGGTTGTTCGACCCCAAATGGGGTCCCGACCCATCTGGTTGAGAACCACTGCTGTAAATGGATTACCTTTCCATAGGCATTCTGTTATGTGCTTGCACTATGACGTGTTCTTATCAGATTAATCCATTGAGATGGGCGGTTGACAGAATTCACAGAATCCTATATTAACCCACCAGGCTACAGTATATTAACCCAACTTGAGGACATCAAAAGACTAAGCAAAACACAGCAGGAAACAAGACTTTCAGAAGAGAATATTTATAGCTCAGGGTTGTACTGTGGGGTTCTTGGTGCTCTCTAATAATAATAATAATAAAGTTGGAAGGGACCTTGGAGGTCATCTAGTCCAACCCCCTGCTCAGGCAGGAAACCCTATACCATTTCGGACAAATGGCTGTCCAATCTCTTCTTAAAAACTTCCAGTGTTGGAGCATTCACCGCTTCTGGAGGCAGGTTGTTCCACTGGTAAATTGTTCTAACTGTCAGGAAATTTCTCCTTAGTTCTAGCTTGTTTCTCTCCTTGATTAGTTTCCACTCATTGCTTCTTGTCCTGCCTTCAGGCGCTTTGGAAAATAGCTTGACTCTCTCTTCTTTGTGGCAGCCCCTGAGATATTGGAACACAGCTATCATGCCCCCCCCCTCGTCCTTCTCTTCGTTAAACTAGACATACCCAATTCCAGCAACCGTTCCTTATATGTTTTAGCCTCCAGTCCCCTAATCATCTTTGTTGCTCTTCTCTGTACTCTTTCTAGAGTCTCAACATCTTTTTTGCATCGTGGTGACCCAAACTGGATGCAGTATTCCAAGTGTGGCCTTACCAAGGCCTTGTAAAGTGGTATTAACACTTCACGTGATCTTGATTCTATCCCTCTGTTAATGCAGCCTAGCACTGTGTTGGCCTTTTTGGCAGCTGCAGCACAGCTGAGCTTGATTGTTTTCTTGCAGACATTTCATTACCATACTAGGTAACATAATCAATGTTTCATTTGGTAATGAAAGCTCTGCAAGAAAACAACCCAGCTCCGAGAGCACCAAGGTGCCCCCAAACAGGGGGCAATGGGACTCATTTGGATAGCTCCAAATGAGTCCCATTGCTTGACAGTTTCTCTACTGTATTAAGACAGTAGAAGGGTGTTGTCTCACAAATACTTCAATATTCCCCTACATCAGTGATGGTGAACCTTTTAGAGACCGAGTGCCCAAAAACTGGCCCCGCCCCCACTCCCCCCTGCCCCGCCCTCCCATCCCCCACCTCGCCTGCCTGCAGGACCACTCACCGCCTCCAGGGCCCGCTGCAGATCACCCAGGCAGCCCAGCAGTGCTATGGCGGCCACACCCTCTGCCCGCGCCCTGCAGCATCAACTGTGCATGATGGGGTGTGAGGGCAGAGTCTTGTCTACGCTGTCTGGCTACCATGTCCTTGGCTGCACTGCTCCATGTGGGCCATGCTCGGGGGCGACTCTCCTTCAGGGGGGCTGCTGGAGAGGAGGGGGTCACGGGAGGAGGCGAGGCTGGGGCAACGGCACATGTGCCCAAAGAGAGGGCTCCGAGTGCTACCTCTAGCACCCGTGCCATAGGTTCACCACCACTGCCCTACATGCTTATTAAATTCTCTAAAATGATTAAAAAAAAAAATCTAGAGCTCTGAGGCCTGCCAATATGCTTTCTTACTTCTCATACAGTTTGCAACTTTCCCTTAGGATGGAAAAGGAAATTAAAAATCCAATCAGCATTTTTAGAGATGTTCAGATTAAAGGAACTGCGGGCATTTAGTATGTATATTCATGATCTCTGTTCATTGTGCCATCAAGGACTAGCAGCACCAGCAAAAGGGACAAAAGCAGCGTTGCAAACCTCACCCGTTTTCTATATGCGTGTCTGTGGGTCACAATACTGCAGGCATGATTCAAAGTGGTGAAGATTGAAGCCCAATGCGCAATATTAATTTTGCTGTTTTGATGGAACGCCTTCTAGATGTCATGGTTAAGCTTTCAAACAGAGATAATTCCAGCATTGTACAATTCCAAAATTTTGGAATTGTATAATTTTCTAAAGACACACTTAAAGACACACTTAAAGACTTTGCTTTTTAGAAGCTGCAGTTCAGCAATAGTTCAATGGATGGGTGGATGGAGACAGACAAGTAGACAGACAGACAGACTGACAGGCAGACAGACAGATAGATTCATAGATACATAGATACATAGATGGATGGATGGATGGATGGATGGATAGAGGAAGGATAGATGGATAGATGGATGGATGGATGGATAGATGGAGATAGACAGACAGACAGACAGACAGACAGACAGATACATAGATACAGATGGATGGATGGATGGATAGATGGATGGATGGATGGATAATGATGGATAGATGGATGGATGGATGGATGGAGATAGACAGACAGACAGACACATAGATACATAGATGGATGGATAGATTGATGGATGGATGGATAGATGATGGATAGATAGATGGATGAATGAATGGATGGATGGATGGATAGATGGATGGATGGATGGATAAAAAAGAAGAGCAACAAAGATTATCAGGGTTTAAAGGCTAAACCATATGATGAATGATTGAGGGAATTAGATAGGTCTAGTCTAACAAACAAGGTCCAGGGATGATATGATAGTCTTTGTACTTGAGGGGCTCTCACAGACAAATGGAAGTCAGCCTATTCTCCATGGCTCCTTAGAGCAGGATGAGAAGCAAAGGATGGAGACCAGGAACCAAGGAGAAATTTCCTGACAGTGAGAACAATTAATCAGTAGAATAGCTTATCTGGGGAAGTTGTGGGAGCTCCATCACTGGAGGTTTTCAAACAGAGACTGGACAGCCACTTATCTGGAACGATTAATGTCTCATGTGATCCATGATGCAGGCCAGAACACCAACAAAAACAACAAAAAATGATACCATTGAAAAAGCAACAAACAAACAAACAAATGCAGCCCAGGGTTATAAGCAAATTGCATAACCTACTCTGGAGCATAATAATATAATGCACAAAATACATTCATGTAAAGAGAGGGGTGGGGCTTCAATCACCCAATTGCAGCCATGCATCCTTCCCTCCCTCCATTCATTTTCATAATCCATCTATCCATCTTCATCATCCATCCATCCATCTTCATCATCCATCCACCCTTCATCATCCCTCCCTCCCTCCCTAGCTCTATCCATCCATTCATCCCTTCATCCATCCTTCCATCCATCCATCCATCCACCATCATCCCTCCCTCCCTCCCTAGCTCTATCCATCCATTCATCCCTTCATCCATCCATCCATCCACCCTTCATCATCCCTCCCTCCCTCCCTAGCTCTATCCATCCATTCATCCCTCCATCCATCCAACCTTCATCGTCCCTCCCTCTCTCCCTAGCTCTATCCATCCATTCATCCCTCTCTCCATCCATCCATCCATCCACCCTTCATCATCCCTCCCTCCCTCCCTAGCTGTATCCATCTATTCATCCCTCCATCCATCCATCCATCCATCCATCCATCCATCCATCCACCCTTTATCATCCCTCCCTAGTTCTATCCATCCCTTCATCCCTCCCTCCCTCCCTCCATCCATCCTTCATACTGCACTTTAATTATAAATCTTTATAATCCACATGTTTTTCTAATTCCAATTCTAAACATTCTACTGCTTAATTACAAGTCTCTCTAATGCACATGCTCTCTTCACGTTGCATAGCAGGTAGGTAGATTTCCAGTAATTGGGAATATGACTTAGTATGTTGGTGAGTTCCTCAGTCCTCTTTGCAATCCGAGCTTCATAATAATTCAGCATACATGCCATTTGATTCTGTTATAGCTAACAACTTAGCAAATTGAAACAGACTGGCTTATTGCAAAGCAATTGTAACTTCCTTTTTAAGTTTAATTGCTGAAAAGTAAGGATAATTGTAATCTTGTTGAAAGAAGCTAAGCCTTTTCATAGTGAATTGTGAGATTCCCCCGGGGTGCCCTTCGTTAAAATGCTCAGATTAGTTTCTTCTTACATCCGGAACTTGTGGAAGTTTAAAACAAACAAATAGGAAAGCCTCCCTAGCTGAATTTTAAGGACATTTGAATGTTGTTCCAAAGAGGAAAAAAAAAAAAATCCTGAATATCATTTCTTTAGTTTGTGATTATCTGGTCATTAAAAAGGAGCAATCAACATGGACCAAAGCAAAAATATGTGGGTTTCTTTGACTAATCAAAAACTAACCGGCCTTCTCAAGCTGTTATCCTTCAGAAAAAAAATGGGTTAGGAATTATGGGTATTATAATCCAATGGTTCAGGAGAAAGCTGGATTAATAATAATAATAATAATAATAATAATAATAATAATAATAATAATAATAATAATAATAATGAGGCACTACCTTGACGTGGTTGTGGGGCTTGTGTACTCTGAGGAAGATGAGAGCTATGCTAGAGGTTCAACCATACTGGACAGGTCTCATCAGAGGAGTCAGACAAAGAGTGTCTCTCCCATAAAAAATATGGTGAGACGTAAATTTCAGAATGCCATACCGGCTCGGACGTCGCCCGGGTTAACAAGGTCCGCACTAGATATTGGAGTTCCTGGATATCTGGTGAAAAATGGGTTACAGGACTCAGGACTGTTGGCTGAGCAACCAGGGCCAG